TTGTCGATAGTAAAGCAACAAGCTCTGATACCACTTGCAAGTAGCCTTTTGTACGCCATGAACATAAAAGAGGGAAAAATTAAAAAAAATGTGCGCAAAAAGCAACCTTTGCCCATCCTCAATCATGTTCAACCCATGAATCATCCAATAGACATGTTAGGGTTTAAAGTAGATACCTTTATTAAGATAATTATTCCTGATCAAATGCGTTCTTGATCAATTCTTCAGACTTGAAGAACACAAGTCCTCCGATGGAAATCCACATCACCTTGTTGTCTTGTAAGAGAAGAACACTTCTTCGAATGCCCAATATCCTTCAATGGAGGTTGCTAGACTCAAGAGAAAAATAGAGATTGGGTAGTGTCTTTGGTTATTCCAAGAGAGAGATAGTTGCCACACTGATGTGTGTGTTGGCTAAGGTTTCAGTGAAGAAAATTAGAGAAGAAGAAGAAATACAAAACTAAAGAAGAAGATGGGCTATATATAGATGTGGCGAATGATTAACCTAAGACTAGGTCAAATCAACGCCCTCAAATCTCAATCTAATTAATTGGTTTCCTTAATTTTGGTCAATCAATACAATTAATTTATTTTCAATCAATCCAATTGATTTGTTTCCAATTAATCTAATTAATTGATTTCCTTTATTTTCTCCGTCTTCAATAAATCTAATTTAATAACTATATTTAAATTCCAATTAAATTAGAATTTAAATTAATTTTATTTAAATTCAAATTTCAAATTCAAAATTAGAATTCAAATTAATTTTATTTAAATTCAAATTTTAAATTCAAAATTAGAATTCAAATTAATTTTATTAATTTAACATTTAAATTAATTAGGTTACATCATGGGTCAAGTTATCATGGATCAAGTCTAACTTGACCCATGATGCCACCTACTCTCTCTTGGCCCAATATGTGGACTTTTCCAACTTAGGCCCATTATGCCTTATTGGGCCCAAAACACATGCTAGAATTCAAGACAACTGAAGGTGTTTGTGTGCGACCCATCAGGCCTAACATAGCCACTGACATAAATGGGCTTAGGCCCATTAGGCCCAATCCATCTAATGACAACACAGAGCACTAGCAATGCTTTGTTGTCCTAGAGCTAGTTGAGTTCATCGAATGATCAATCTATTATACCTATATGGTTTTCGTGTGAATCGTCCTTTCGTCTCGGTTATCCATCCCATTGACCTAGGTCAAGGAAAACTTATCAACCCTTCTTCCTCAACACAAAATGAGAGCACACGAAATGGAACAAGAAAGCAGCAGAGATGTAGAAAATCCATATGCACCACAACAAAGACATGCTACCTGAAATTAGGTATCCTTTGAAACTCGAATATGGTATCGCAAGCTTCTTCCTCAACACTGTAAGGTCACAAAAATAAAAGAAAAAGCTTTGTAAGACATAAGAAAATGTGGTTCATGAAGGAGAGCTTGTCATTTCCCTATCAGCCACAACGTGACAATTTGTTCACAATTTCAGACTTCGGATTCTGTTTGGGACAATATGTTTGTGCACACCACAGTTAAACTAAGGCATGGGATATTTTTGTCTTGCAAATTTTAGTTGTCGTTCTCATCGCCTGGCAAATAATTTTTACCATACCTTATAGGAGGGAAACTTTGATAAGGAAAACATGTGTAAACATGGTTGACGGAAAAAAATGTCTCCCAATCAATTTTTAGCTCTTCCAAGTACCAAACATAGCCAACTTAATTTTCCCATCCAACTCTCCTGGCAAAATATTTTTTTCCATCATACCAAACGCCGCTAAGAGTACTCCATTATAAACATACTACATCCCTTATGGGATATTTACTCGATTCTCTTGATCACTGTTCAATACCCACCAAAATAATAATAATAATTTGTATAGTTCAGGTCGTTTGAAGATGTAAATGTAGTTGTTGAAAGTATCCTTATTTTGATATTACGACTATATGACCAAATCCCAAAAGGGGCTTCTCAATCTGTACGAGTATATTTTATTTTTTTTAACAACACTAGTATTTTTAAGTTTAGATAAAATACTAAAGAAATAAATTGAAAAAAAAAATATTTAATTTAAAGTTTAAAATTGTACAGAAATATATAATTGATTTAGGTGAAATATAAAAAATATTTAAATTATAATTTAAAAAATTCACATTTTAAATTAAAAAAAAGGTTACAATACATTCATCTTTTTTTTTACCATAGAATACACTGAAAGATTTAATCACTTTCAAGAGTAAAATCTAGTTTAATATATAAATTAGAACAACTAATAATGTTGTAAAGAACCTTGGGATACACCACTCCAAAAACTAGCTCAAAGAGTGAGAGTGTCCAAGATCTTATAAACTCCATATTAGTTGCACATACAACCAATGTGGGACTATATATCTCAACACATCCCCTCACACGAGAGCCCATTGGGCTTGAAGGGTGAACAATGCACAGGCCCAACTACTTGTGCGAAGAAAGAAATTCCATCGGAAAGAAAGTGGGAGGCAGCGAGATTTGACCCCAGTACCAGGACACGAGGCTCTGATACCATGTAAAGAACCTTGAGGTCACCACCCCAAAAGCTAGCTCTAAGGGTGGGAGTGCTCAAGACCTTATAAACTCCACATTAGTTGCACATATAACCAATGTGGGACTATATATCTCAACACGCCCCCTCACACAAGAGCCCATTGGGCTTGAAGAGTGGACAATGCAACAGGCCCAGCCTACCTGTGCTAAGAAATGCCACAAGAGAAAGTGGGGGGGGGCGAGGCTCTGATACTATGTAAAGAACCTTGGGATACACCACCCCAAAAGCTAGCTCTAAGGGTGGGAGTGCCTAAAACCTTATAAACTCCACATTAGTTGCACATACAACCAATGTGAAATTATATATCTCCACAAATACTTTATTCATATCCATCTTAAATCTATGTTGTTTTATATGGTAAAAGACATAATGAATAATCAAGATGTTATTTTCGCGTTGGGAGTCCTGGAAGAATGAACTTTGATTTATCGTATAAGTAACTGTGTCTCTTATATACTAATAATGTCGACTGAACTATTAACAATTAAATAATTTTGATCATCAAGCACGTGTATTTACTGACACATTGTTGTTCCAACTTAACCAATGATTGATTAGTCAATTAATCAATGAACTAATGGAAAAAAAATCTTAAATAATTCCATCAAAATGTATACAATTACCATTATTTATATATTTTATAGCAAGAACCATAAATATCAAAGAGCCCAACTAATTTAGAATAAATATATTGTTGATGTTGAACCAAATATCATGAAAAAACACATGCTATTTTCGAAGTCATTTTAAGCCAATTTTCGAATTTACTATGCCTCATTAAGTGGAATAATGATTTTAGTTTACTCAACACTAGCTTAGCCATTCCTCTATGCATGTTAATTTCTACTATTTTTTATTTGATCTCACGCAATGTGCACACTCCGTATCATTGTTGTTAAAATTTTGATTTATCACTACGATTTTATATTTTTACGATTTTTTTATCAAAACGATTTTACTAATATTCCAAACGCTTTTACATTTTTACGATTTTTTTACATTACGATTTTATATTTTACGATTTTTTAATCCCCTTCCGATTTTACTTAACATCTAAATTCTAACAACATTGCTCCATACTCAAATATTAACTGTCACAAATAATCTCTTGCAAATGTTAAGATAAAATTACCTACTATAGACCCTTCAATGGACTCTAAGCTAGTTATAGCATCATGCTACATTATAAACCAATATTATCAAACTCGGTAAAAGTGTTAAATCTAATGAATAACTTGTTCAACTAATAGGTGGTTGAATCGATTAAATCAAATTTATATAAGTGTATATAATAAATATATATATATATATATATATATATATATATATATATATATATATATATATATAACTATACAACTAATGAACTGTTGTGGCTTAATAGGTGATGTTAAATGTGTCAATACTGATGTTCAAAGTTTGATCCCCAATAACCTTTAAATATTCTACACAACAAATCCAAAAACCGATTCAATCAAAAAATTGATACCAGTTGAACCTGATCTAAAACCAATTCAACGAATCCCTAAGAGTAGCTCAACCGGCAAAGTTAAGCGTCCAAAATTTATTTGTCTAGGGTTCTATACTTGACCAAAGCAATTCTTCGAATCCTTTGAGGACCAGAGGGAAAAGGCTCTCCCTCGATGAAAAATTAGTTTCATCTTTCTTCCGATAACAGTGATCCAATGCACTCGTTGTTCCAATGAGGAGCCAACCTTACGGGTCATACTCCAAAGACAAAGTGACTGAAAGAGGTTAAATGGAAATACATCCAGGTTTCTACCAAAAAAATAAAAACCAATTCAATGAATGATTGAAGAACCTATCCATTAGTTGAATCTGATTCCCCATTCAAACAGTCTGGTCTAAATTTTAACAACACCGCTATAAACTTCCCAATGACTAATAGACCCTTCATGCTTAATAAAAAATTTGGTACCAGTTGAACCCAATCTATAACCAATTCACAGGTTACGCACTGGGTTGATTGCAGAACCGATCCAGATACCGGATCAAATCAATTGGTGATCCGTTTAACATCACTGCTATAAACTTCCCTGTGACTAGTAAACCCTTAGAGCCCGTTTGTTTTGCCTTTTCAAAAAAATAACTTTTATCTCTTTCTTATTTTAAAAGTACTTTTTATAAAAATTAAAGCTATTTATATTTGTATAGAAATATTTAGTTTTTGAAAATAAAAATTTGGCTTTTGACTTCTGCTTTTTTTAGAAGTTAAATTTTTTAGCTTCTGAAATAAAGTAATTTTTTGACTTTTTTATGACTTCTGTTTTTTTTTAAAAACAGACATCCAAATGAACTAAAAATGAGAATTGCTTTTTTTCAAGAAAAAAAAAGTCCAACCAAACTGACCCTTAATGCTCCTCTCTACTGTACTATATATGTATGATGGTAAGACAATGATGGGAAATAAAATGATTTAAAAGAAAATATTACAATCTTGGTATTCCAAAATCTTTGTTGCAAGAACAGAGAGAGCAGAGCAGCCTTGAATTTTATTCTACAATTTCCCCCTCCTCTTCATCAGATTCCTGAATTCCTTCTCCATTATCACATTGTCTTTTAACGAAGGAAGATGGTTCTTTATGCGGATTACTATGAACAATATAGTCATTCTCATCATCATCATCATCATCATCACACTCTTCATCTTCAATAACATTATCGTGGTTTACAATTTTTTGAACTGTTTTCTCTTTAACACTTTCAACAACATCTTTTCCAATGTGCAAATGTCTTTCTTCACCACCTTCAGATCCAATTTCTTTCACAAAAGTTGATGGATATATCAGTGGTTTGTCAGGAAAATGTTTGAAGAAAGAATTCATTACCATGAACCTAAAAACCTGAAACAAGTGGCTCTTATCCCTCTTTATATCTGCACTCAAGAGTTTATGCAATAAAGTTGGCTTCCTCTTGTTTAAAGAAGGGCTTTCTGAAAAATCTTTGTCTGCAAACTTCTGTTTCTTGGCAAACCGACCTTTTCTGTCTGATTTCTTGTTGAACTTGTTTTGGAATTTCCTTTTGTCAGTAAATGTGTTTTTCCCTTCACTCTGAAGGCCTTGATTCTCAGAACCCTTCAGGTAGTATGATGGTATTTCAGCAACTTCTATTCCCAACTCAGCTTGTTTTGCTAAAATCTCCCTCAGCTGCAAATACAAAATATACATACTACCTTAAAGAGTTAAAATAATTCTACTCATTATGAGTCCAATAAAGATTCATTTGTCATCAATTATATTTCATGCCAAATAAGAGGCTGAGTCTTGAAGCAGCAGTAAGGTTGTTCCTTGTGACCGAAAGATTACAAGTTAGGAGTATGGGAAATAGCCTTTTTGCAAAAAATACAAAGGTAAGGCTACGTACAATCAACCCTTACCACTACCCTCACAAAACGAGGGCCTTGAGCACTGGGGTTTGCCCCTTTTTTTTTAGGCCAAAAAAATACTACTTGCTTGGCTCTCAATTGAACAACAAAACTAAATTTGGCAATATAAGAGTATTACATTGGGAGCTATTATATGCTAAAATCATCTCTCTAATAAGTAATGAATATACCTCTCTTTGTAAGACTTCCCTATCAATGACCTTGGAGTCTTTCAGAGGTTCACTCTGCTTCTGCATTTAGCAATTCAGTTATTAATTATTAGACAATAACATCTGATAAGCATAATCAGTAGATAGAGCAGTTTGTTGAAAACCTTCTGAATGTTGGAAGGGTGATTCTTCCTCCTAGCTTCACGCCACTGTTGGATTTCTTGCTCAGTATAAGTCACAGAGAAGGATCTAACCGTTCAAGAAAGAGAAAAAAAAAAAAAAGAGCAATCATACACAAGATCAGGGTTAAAGAGTTAAGATATTGCCAGTACAAACGGGTAAGTTGCGAAATCAAAAGTTTGAGGGGAAAAAAAAAGCAATCTAATAGAGAAAAGACAAAACTGAAATTTGATCAGAAAGCAGAATAAACTCTAAAAATAAAAACAAAATATGTTACATTTGGATGGTTATCTGGATTCTGGAAGACATTTTATCTGTACAAAAAAACTTAAAACTTCGGTACCACATTCATGAAAGGTGTCAACCTTATCAACTCTATGTTGAAGAGAGGCATTGGCCATTGTGTTTTAGTTAGACAGATGTTATTTGACCACCGTACTTGACCACATAATTCAGATGGACTCAAATGGCTTACAACAGACTATAAATGTTGGTAGTTTAGATTCAGTGGGTGGAACTATTGGCACTCCCTTCTTATTAGTGATACTTTATTTTTATAAATATCCTTAGTTGATTTGTCTCCCTTTACATGTCATTTTTTTTTTCAAATTAATTCATCATCATTTCACATGTGATACTTTAGGTAAAAGTAATAATGAATAATTGGAAGCTAGTTATCAGGAGGGACTTTCTAACAGATTGGCAAAAGATTTTCTACGAACATTGTTTTACCTTTCCGGTTTACATCATTGTTCGTCAAACATTACAACCGTCTTTCATTTTAAAGAAAATATTAAGTTCAGATGATCTCTACAAACATTGTTTTACCTATCCGGTTTACATCATTGTTATTCAAACATTACAAAGAAGCAATTTAGGACTTCTAGTTCACAGAGGAACTAGTTCATTAGCAGACAGCTATTCCTCGATACTAGTTTAAAATGTAATAGACCTGTAAAATTTAAACCAAAACAGCCTGTCTAACCTTCAATTACAGTGAAGCAGCCAAATAAAAAAATGTTTAATTAGCATCTTGTTACACATTATTATTATGAACAAATTACAATTTAAAGCAGTTCAATGTAAGGCACTGCTAGCAAGTAATTGACTGGAACCAGGTAAAAACGGTTTGGAAAGTCAAGCAGAAGGTACCTTTTTGTTTCCTGCTTAAGTTCCTTAGAATTTAAACCAACATGTCCTGCCCTCCCATTGTTGGGCCCTGCTTTAGCCACAAGCATTAGTCTAACCGCAGAAAAATGTTTTCATCTCGGTAATAAGGTAGAATAGTTCAAACCTTTGCCCTTATGTTCTTTAGGGAACCCAGTTCTTCTCTTTCCGTTGTTGATATCAAGAAATTTAGACTTCTGGAATTTACTTGAACTGGACCATGATTGTAAACCACAGGAAAATTATGTTACTCATCAAATATTAACCCAATAAACCATGAGTAATAAAAGAGAGAAGGAAACAACATACCCTCCTTGAAACTCCCTTCGATTTTGTTTATTTTTGAAGTTTTTGCTTGGTGATCCTTTCCAATTAGAGTTTGGAACATTATTTTTAATGTTGCTATTAGGATTTGCCTGCAGCAATTATTGGGATTTGCATTCAATATAATAGCCGCAGCTTCTTGTGCAATAGTATTTATATGCAGTAGAATAACACACTTGGCTGAAACACATTGCAAAGACAGAAACAAATCAGTTTCAAAATTACCTGTGTGTGTGACTTCATAAATGCAGAAGGTTGAGAGTTATTTGTATGATGTAGCCGAACCGAATTAGGATTAAGTGATGCAGAACTGTTGCCTTGTAACTGCTGAGATGAAAAAGGTGATGATGCAAAGGCATTTGTATTCGCAGTTGGTGGAACAAGGTTTTTCTCATTCGGGTCATTCTGTGGCCTGACCTGATTTCCAGGCACATGACCCATCTGGGGATTTGCAGAAAAGATTGGATTTTGAGGGACCATCATGGCCTGAGGCACTTGGTTTGGAAACCCAAACATGGGTTGGGAACCAGGATGCATACCATATGGACCAACATGAGAAGGGTTTGACATTTGCATAGGTAACTGTTGATTCATATTTTGCACAGCATATGGGTTACAAAATTGGCCATTTGGTATATTCATATTCATATTAGGCTGCTGAAGCATATTCAGAATACTTTGTGCTAAAATTTGTTGAGACAAATTGATTTGAGCTGCATTCTGCATGACTTGTCCCTGAACAGGAAACATTGGATTGTAATTGGCATTGCCTACACTATTTTGAGGACCTAACCCCCCCACATGGGATTGACCATGTTGAGGACCAGCTAAACCCATATGAGGCAGATGTAGCTGATTGTTTTGCAAGTGAAGGAGATTATTTGCAGCATTCATGAAAGGAGGAGGTGTATTTATAGATGGTTGCATGTTGAGCATAAAGGGGGGAATCAAGCTTTGGTTTTGGTTTTGGTTTTGGTGATTACCCAATTGGGGCTGTGTTTGCATGACCACACCATTGTTTTGCAAGGTATGCTGATGGTTAGGAGCATTCAAGAAATTGGGTTGGGTCTTGGAGGAGTTATTATTAGACATGATGTGAACACACAAAAATCAAGAAAAAATCTTGAATCCAAAGTGTAAACTCAATAACTAAAGAACTCAATAACTAGGCTCAGTTTTGAAGGAGGGTAACATGAGACATTAAGTGAACAGTAACTGAAGAACACATTAAACCATTGTTTTGCAAGGGAGACATGACATAAACAGATAGATACTCAATAACTCTTGAATTCAAAGTGTTTGAAATTGCAGAGAGGGAAACAAAAAACGAAAAAAACAAAATCTTAGTTGCTGTTCACAACCTCGCCAGTACAATGTGGAACAAGATTTTGAGTTGGGAAATTGTGAACGGGAGAGAAAGATGGAAACTTTACCAAGAAAAATCGAGTTTTTGGCCAAACCCCGTTTGATATTGAAGCTACAACGTATGCTTGAGCGGCATCGGGAATAAACTTGCTCTGGTTTTATGTTCCTCAATTGACACTACATGAGAAGGAAATTCTAGGGCAGAGCACAACACAAGATGGAGGCTACCAAAAAACAGGTTTAATTTTAAAATTATCTTGGAAATTTGATGTTTGAAATATCTTTAAATAATAGAAAATGACATCAATTTAGCATTTTTTTTTTTTTTTTTTGGTAGTAATCGATTTAGTATCTTAACCTCCTAATAAGATTATTTTAATGTCTCATTCGTCTTGATTTATAGACTAAATTAATGTCGCTTACCTTACGAGGATAAACATTATATATATATATATATATATATATATATATATATATATATATATATATATAGGAGAGAGATCATTTGACTCCAGAGTAAAATTTATAAGTCTTACTCCTCATCCTAGCCGTTGATTTTTGTCAATCCAACGATTATAGTTTAGGAAGTTATAATTATTAATTACACTATAAATGACAACTATTAATTTCCGTCCATCAACGACTGAGATGGGGAGTAAGACTTACAACTCTTACTCCTCATCTCAACTGTTGATTTCTGTCCATCTAATGTGTGATGCTAGTGATTATGTCATAGGAGTTGTTTTAGGACAAATAAAGAATAAATTGTTGCATGTGATTTATTATGCTAGTAAAATTCTGAATGATGCACAAAAGAATTATGCAACCACTGAAAAAGAGTTACTAGCAGTTGTCTATGCATTTGATAAATTTAGACCGTATTTGTTGGGGTCTAAAGTAATTGTATACACTGATCATGCTGCTTTAAAGTATTTATTGAATAAGCAGGATGTAAAGCCACGACTACGGAGGTGGATGATGCTCCTTCAAGAATTTGAAGTGGAGATCAGAGACTAGAAAGGTGTAGAAAACTTGGTAGCTGATCACCTCTCCAGAATTCAAGAAAAAGATCTTCAAGACGGACCTGAGCTGAAGATCAAAGAGGAGTTTCCGAATAGGCAAATCATGGATATCAATGTCATCTCGGATCCACAACCGAAGGAAGTAAAGACCACAAGTACACCTCCTTCGTTCGCAGACTTTGCAAACTTCAAAGCAGCAGGAGAAATTCCAGTAGACTTCACATGGCAACAAAGAAAGAACTTCTTACATGACGTCAAGAAATACTTATGGGATGAACCCTTCCTTTTCTACAGATGTGCTGATGGCGTAATAAGGCGTTGTATTCCAGAAGAAGAGATGAAGGACGTCCCGTGGCACTGTCATGGTTCCAGCTACGGTGGACACTTCGCAGGAGAAAGAACGACTGCAAAGGTGCTGATGAGTGGTTTCTATTGGCCAACACTTTACAAAGATGCAAGGAAGTTTGTTGAATCTTGTGATAAATGTCAGCGAACGGGGAACATCTCCAGAAGACATGAAATGCCCCTCAACAACATATTGGAGGTTGAGATCTTCGATGTGTGGGGAATAGACTTCATGGGACCCTTTCCTCCTTCCTACGGCAACAAATACATCCTGGTTGCAGTTGATTACGTCTCCAAGTGGGTTGAGGTTGTTGCCCTTCCTACTGATGATGCTCGGGTGGTCATTGCATTCTTGAAAAGAAACATATTCGTTCGATATGGCATACCACGAACAATCATAAGTGACGGAGGAACTCACTTTGACAACAGACAAGTGGAGTACGTACTGGCTAAATGCGGCGTGAAGCATAAGATTGCAACACCATACCATCCACAAACAAGTGGCCAAGTGGAGATTTCCAACCGAGAGCTGAAACGTATCTTGGAGAAAACAGTGGGAAGCTCCAGAAAAGATTGGTCTAAGAAGCTTAATGATGCACTTTGGGCATACAGGACTGCATTCAAAACACCAATAGGTATGTCCCCCTTCCAATTACTGTTTGGGAAAGCTTGTCACTTACCGGTAGAATTGGAGCACAAAGCACTGTGGGAAATCAAGTACCTGAACTTCGACTCCAAGACAGCTGTGGAGAAAAGATTACTTCAACTAGATGAGCTCGACGAGTTCAGACTATCTGCGTACGAGAGTGCGAGTCTGTACAAAGAGAAGACGAAGAAGTGGCATGACAAGAAGGTCCTACCTCGAGACTTCAAAGTGGGAAATCAGGTATTACTTTTTAACTCTCGCCTTCGTTTCTTCCCTGGTAAACTTAAGTCTCGATGGTCGGGACCGTTCATCGTGAGGAATATGAAATCATATGGAGCAGTGGAAATCAGTTCGCTAAATTCCGAAAGGAGCTTCACAGTGAATGGACAACGGTTGAAACTATACATGGGAGGAGAAATTGACAGGGGGATAGCCATCGTTGCCCATGTAGAGGTAAAGTAAGTCAGGTACGTCAGGCTCATGACGTAAAACAAGCGCTACTAGGGAGGCAACCCTAGGATTTATTGTTTTTCTTAGTTATTTACTTCAAATTATCAAGAAAATACAAAAAAAGAAAGATAGTTTGTTAAAATTGATAAAAATTGAGAAGTGTGAGTCACGAAATGCACGCTCGAGCGCGCACATAGCTGCTTGAACGCGTGCATTCAGAGAGAAAGGGATTTCTTAGGCATTTTGCACTCTTGAGCACGCACCTGGCCGCTCAAGCGCGCAACATTGGGGTCACAGGGGTTGCTCCCTGCCTTAACGCGCTCAAGCGTTCACCATTGCGCCCAGGCGCGCTCAAAGGGGGAAAACTGAGATTCGAATTGCACGCTCAAGCGCCCAGTTGGCCGCTCGAGCACGCTGGCACGGACATGAGGATTTTAAATTTTTATATAAAACCCCTCCTTTCATTTCATTCCCAATTTTCACCTCATTACTCACAAATATACACTCTCTCATTCACATCTCTCTCAAGTGAAATTCTTTTGTGTTCTTGCAAGCTCTCTTTGCAGACCATCCAGGTATGTATCTTCCAACATAATTGCTAATTGACATTAACCTTCAAGTAATTTCTTTCCTCTATTCATCAATTGCAAATAGGATTCTAGGGTTCATGTTATGCAAATGGGGATTTAGGGATTTTTGGGTTCAATGCTATGGGAATTGGGAATCTTGATATATATATTGAATAATCTTGAAGCATGTTCCCAATTACAAACACCAATCCCCTATTTCACCCATTTACAAAGATGCACTCACACATAGGAAATGGTTCATGACATGTTGCATCCCAAGTGTTTGAAAAAAGTTCCTAGACAATAAAGAGCTTCTAAAAAACGAATTTGCATAGTAACCATGAATGCAATTGTTGCATCAGTTGCACAACAAGAAAATACAACTTCTGGAAAACAACTTGTTGTTTTACTCTCATAGTATACATGGTTTCTAAAGATGATGATAGTATTTGTCACATAGCGTGCATCAAAATAAAAGGGATTATTGTAACTACAATTCCAGAATTCTACAGTGTTCATTACTTGGAAATGCTAAGGTTCATAATGGAACCTAGAAAAATACATGTTTGCTTCTAAAAATGTTTTTCATATACTCAATCTGGAATGGGAATGCCTTGAAAATTTTGGTGATTAAGATTGAACTCTTTACATGAGAAGCATGCTATCTCATAAATTTGGGAATTATTCTACATCATGCTTTGAAATAAATCTGGGAATTCCACAGTACATTGCTATCTTGATTGAGATTTATTTTTGGATCACTTTTCTGGTTTTCAGGATGTCAGGAAGAAGTAAAAGAAACAGAGGCAACACTAATGCCGGTTCAAGCTCTCAACCTCCGGTAGTGGAGGTACAAAAATTCAAATCTCCAGCCCATGAACAACGATACCACACTCACATTCTGGGCAAGGGAATTTGCAAGGAGAGAGTTCTCCAACTCACCATGGGCCAGCACCCTGACTTCTACAATAATATCACCAGGAGGGGTTGGAGAAATTTTTGCACTCTCCCAGTGGTGACAAGGGAAGACATATGCAGAAAATTCTTTGCTAATGCATATTGTGAGGAGGAGGAAGGAGTAGGGAAGCAATATGTAAGCTTCGTAAGGGGGAGAGAGATTAAGTATGACTCCCGCTCCATTCAAAACCTGCTGAAGACTGCTCATCATGACATAACATCTGTCACCACTTGTGCATAAAGGAACAAGTGCCATGCATTGGATACAATGGAATATGCTGAAGATGAATTGGAGGCTGCACGACCTATATTGGAATGCATCACCAATCTAGGTGAGGAGTGGGATAAGACACAAGACGGGCGTCCTAGAAGAGTATGGCTGAGGAACCTGAATAACCCAGCCAAGGTATGGTTTCACTTCTTGGTAAGCAACATCAAGCCTTCTTCTAACCGCACAGAGGTGGTGTTGAAACGGGCAGTATTGCTATGGGCTATTATGCAAAGGCTGCCTATAGATTTACCTAAGATCCTATCAGAGAGCCTCTATGACATGGCCCACAACACGAGTAAAACAACATCCATTGGCCATAGCTCTCTGATACAGTTTATGTGTCAGGCAGCTGGAGTTGAGATCCCCACAACTGGTGGCAGATAAATAAAATTACTACCACAAATGGATGCCACATGGATTTCACGTAAGCTAAGGGAACCAGTGGAAGAAGGTGGACCTGCGACAGAGACATCTCAGGCAGGACGACGGAGGAGAGTCAGACGTACACCAGCTCAGACAGGTGGAGTTTCTGGTTCAGCTGCTGTAGGATCAGTAGAGAGTTGACTGACTGCTCTTGAGACACAGGCTGGATTCACCCGGCGCAGGATCCGACATATGCATCATCAGCAGCTCGCTTACCAGACACGCATTCTGCAGCACCTCAGCATTTCCCATCCTGTTGGACTTCCAGACTTCCAGCCCAAGCCATATGATGGATCCGAGGAGGAGGATGCATACGATGTTGCATATAGAGAGGCTAGCACAGGTCCAGCTACTGATGGCCAGGACGATGATGGCGAGGACATGGTCATGCCACCAGCCATAGTGCGTGATACAGAGGATGAGGAGATGGATGACTGATCACCTTGGCCATTTATTTTACATGCTTTATTTTTATTTTGCATGGATTATGATGTTTTATGTTG